AGATACTACCACTGCGTGACAGTGCAGACCGTACAGATGGACGTGGCAAGTCGATGTGGCTGTAAGCAGTACTGTACTTTAGTGCCCTGCCCATAATGACCGAAATAAGAGCTCGGTTGAGTCGCGGATGACTATAAGGTGTGCCCGCCTCGCGCGTATATATCGCGTTGGCTACTGCTAGCAGACGCGCGTTCAGCATACCTGTATCGCTGCAGTATGGCCTGTGTCCAGTTAGTGACCTGCTTGGTCATATAGACTGACACATCAGAAGCGTAAGCACCGTAAGCCAGCACGACGACGCAAATGCACCGAGAAAGCGACAGTGGCCCTATGCATATGTTCTGGCTATCACGAGCACGTGGTATATACACCTTGCGGGATAAGGACCGGACACATAAAAAAGCACGCCGAGTTGATAAGTAGGCAGCGAAAGTACTTCATTTAATGTACATGAGCTACTATTCGATTCAAGTCTAAGATGTATACGATCAGATAATCATCCTACAGTCATCTGGCTTCCTATGTTCGGCATACATATCGGAACCAGTAAATGCCACTCGGAAAGGATCTACGCCACTCTGTCAGTCAGTAGCTACGGAAATAAGCCAGTAAGAACGTCAGCTATGCACGTAAGATCAATGTATGCGGAAGATAGTGGATTGCCCTTCAGTAATATCATAAAGAGTTCAGCGGAACAATTTCAAGGCATAATATTGGTGTTTGTGGCGACCATCGGCAAATACTACCTGAAAAAAGATACTTCACGCGAGGAGCCGACCAACCGTGCTCTAATAGACCGTCGCAATCAAAGATATGGTGTCGATTGCCTGCGTGCAGATGGTAAGATGTTTGAGTAGGATATTTACTCCAGGTAACCTGGGATTCCTCACCGATGTATGCCAATTTCGAAGCATCATTAATACTGACCCGTCTTCTGAACAGCATATACTAGCTTTGCAGCCACGCGCGCCTCTGATTCGTGTCATTTTGGGAGCAATGCGCTCAAACGAGATTATAGACAGAACCTTTCCGGATAAGATGGTGCTCTTCTTGCAGATCACGCTAAACTCTGGTCGTGTCTACAATAACATGTGAACACTATAGATACTGTGTGCGGTGTTGTTTTGGAACGTAATATACGTAGATCACAGTATACATGTACTATATGTTGCTTCGCTTTGAGTAGAAATTCTAAGCCCACCGCAGCGCATCGGAGTCGGACAGCCCACACTACACCAACCAACCATGCCCTAGCGTCCGCGGAGCGGACGCCCAGACCGCTAGTTCCTTATCTTACCCCCCTAGTGGAGTCTGACGTGTGTCTGTCCGTACGTCCGTCCGTAACGGGCTAGGGTTAATAATCCTCACGCTAATACGCGCGTTCTACTGGCTGCCGAGCGCAGCGAAGGCGGCGTCGATTCGCTAAAATTGCATTATGTGGTGTACACACTGTATGTGGTCTACACATCGTTCTTAAATGCACCGTTCAAATTTCATTTTGCCCCCATTTTTAACGCTGGAGCGCCACCTCACGCAAAGGGCGCTGCGTATGTGCGGGTTAATTTGCATTGGTAGGCTTCGCCGACGTGCACCGGTACTATTATATCGTCGTAGGCGCTGTTGATTTTTTTTAGACCCTGGCGACACCACTGGATCGCATTTTAGCAAAGTAGTAATTCAACACTTCGAAATACTTACTTTAATACTTAAAAAATAATATTACTAATTTAATAAAAACGTTTCTAATAAAACATTTCTCCAATGGAACGTTTACCTCCCATGTGCTCGACGTGCCAGGCGGTCATTGTGCACCCCCCGCTCGAGCCAGACGGTCTCGGGCTGCAGCTCCGGCTGTGCGCCTGTTGCGAACAATTCTTAGCATGGGATGCATTTGCACAGGGCCAGGCTCGAGCGGGTGCCCGCAGGTGCATCGCGTGCGCCTCTAGTCCATACAGCCAGGCGTTTTGGCACCGCCCACGCACACCAGAACCGAAGCCAGCCACTGATTCGCGCCAACAAAGCCTGGCCTTAGTTGCCGCCGCTATGGGTCCCCCACAACCGCCGCGGCGTGTTGTCCAGGAGCGCATTAATCGCCGCCGTCGTCGCTGGAAACCTCGACAAACATCCGCGTAATCACCAGAAAAACTGATTGGCTAAAAATAAACGTTTTCCATTGGTCACAATTACTTTCGTGTTTAGGTGCGTTGTATGGGAGCTTAGGACAGGGCGTGAGCCTAGGAGAAGGTGCGAGCTTATCGAACTGGATTTGTAGGGCAGAAAGAAACAGTATGTACGATGGAGGGGAAACAAATATGGACACAGAGCTACAAAGCACGGAAGCGGGCCGATGCAATTAACATTTAAATCTATGAAAGCACTGAGAGTCACGGACTCTGTTAGACTTTCTACGTAAAACCGGGCTAGAACACGTAGCTGCTACAGAGCACGGAAATCACCTACGATACAGCACGGTAGACCACGAAGCACGGTAAAATACGAAGCACAAACGGCAGATCAACCGGGACACCACAAGATAACTAGATAGTATGGTCTGGGCCACTATGCCATGGGAGAACGCAGCCGCGGAGCTATAGTCAGAAAATCTTTGAGCCGCGGAGATCGATACAAGTGTAGAACCTGAGCTTACCGAGCCACGGAGAACCGTAGTACATGGGAACACGATTTAACGGACGTCGGACCAGCCACAAAAAACACGAGGGGGGGGAGAGGGAGGGGGAACGTGTGGGGTGGCCATGATTGCACACCGTGGAGCACGATGCCATTGTAGAACACGATAACACGGGCAACGCAGATGCACTACGCGAGCACAATACCATAGACAGCATTACCACACCGTGATTGCACGATAGCGTGATACCGCGGTCGATGACACTTCATCAGGAGATCACGATGCACGGGCGACGGAACCACGACTGCATGGAGGCACCAAAGCACGGAATAGCACCCTTTGGTTAGAGCACCGGCGATGGAAGGCCAACGGTCACGAAATAGTATCTACCACGAAGCCAGTGCAACCCACGTAAACGTTTGAGAACGGAAAACAGTTAGCTTTAACGAAAAGACCGTACTAAAGAGCATGAGTTCACAAGAGAGAGGACAGAACCGCTGAGCAGCGTGGGCCATGGGTGAGCAGGAACCTCGAAGCCGAAAAGAGCACGAAAGAGCATGGACCATTGAAGAAAACAACACCCAACCTGTAGTACGGGGTAACGGAAACGTTCCAAACCACGATATTATACGGGGCCGAATGAGACTACGGAAAGGCAAGTGGTTAAATACACGATGCCAAGATCTACGGGGTGAACCACGCTCTCAAAACACGCGACACCAAGAAGCACTAAGGTTGCGGCCACCTCATCTCCAACAAACCATGCCACTCCGCCGCGTAGCGGCGGCGAACGGCTAGTCTTAAACATCTACTGCAGCAACCTGTCTGTCCGTCACACTAAATTGTCGTGCCTGTCACGCTTTTCCGGACAAATCATCGGATAAAATGATTTAAATATTTCTACTGGCTGCCGAGCGCAGCGAAGGTGGCTTTAATTGGTTAAAACTAGATTGTGTTGTTGCATCAATAAATTCATGTGTTTCCCAGTTTACATATGGGGATTTGCACAAGGCTATACATTATCCAAAGGCATCGTTTAAATATTATATACTTTTTTATAATGCATGTTGCTATTGATATTTGAGTACTAAACGGAGGGCAGGGTGCCTATCGTACACGTAAGCATGCGTGTTTCCGAGGACATGGTTTAAGTATACTAAATTCTCTGTACTCAGTAGGATCTGCGTGTTACACTGACTAATGATAATTTCAATTTTTTTATTGTAAAAATATTAGCATTAATAAGTTATCTGAGTGGGTTTCTGGTATTGCTAAATCGTATATGTTACATGTACAGCAGTAGCCGGTCTGGTCGTAAGAACAAAGCTGTGCTTATAAACGTTGTCACTTGATTCACAAAGATAGATAGTTTTAGATTGACGTGTGAACAAAAGAAGTTATATGTGCTGATGACAATTACTACTGTAAGCGAATTGAACTTGACCATTGTTTTCTAAGCGGGTTTTTAGACAACCACATTCTGATACTTCTTAATAGGTAGACGCGTTGCCGACAAGGGCGTAGAATAAGGTTTTACATGCAGCGGTAAGATAACAGCACAGCATGAGAGGTATCAATTATGGTTACTATAAGTAGGCCCGTAAAGAACCGTTTATCAACTTAAAGCCTAATCTACGTTTAACCATCCTGGAATCATCGTTTAAGTATCAAATAAAAATACCGCCGTCAACAACAACAACAGCAAGGCGTCTTGCGACGCATCGTTATATCCAAAGGCTATAACCATAACAGGCACAGATTCGAGTGTCTAATGACTGATTCTGAATCAGCACAAAATGAACACACTTGAATGCATAAAAAAATGCTACAGCTTGAATATTTTTATTAAATATTTAAATTGTAACACTTTTAATTTTCTTTCAAAGTAGCGAGTTTCGTATGCGAAGTGGTTAATAGTCAGTTTATTACAAGCTTAACCAGATGCAAGCTGGACAGATATTCTTTGTATTGATGCAATTTAGGTTTCAGCGTGCACGACGCTGAACTAAATATATTATTTAGCGTTTTTAGACTGAAGTGCAGAAGGTACAGTGATAGCCAACAACAATAAAGAGACTTTGCCAAGATCACTAGCGTAAGCGTTTATGAGCATGGTAAGTATGTGCTAGGGGTTCAGTCTTTTGTACCGGTAGAAATATACTGGGAACTCAGCATTTTGTAGCAAATGAAACGCAGATTTATGAAATTTAAGAAGTCGATTTAGGCACACGGGGGACTCAGAGGATTTGGACTAATTATCCCGCCGAAGCGAAGCGAAGGCGGGAAGGCAAAAATCTAAAGTAAAACCTAAATTACCGCCGCGTAGCGGCGGCGCTCGGCTAGTAAAAGCAGCAACTCGTCGAGAGCATGTTTAGTGCTTCTTGCCACCGTTCTTGGACTTGCGGATTTTCTTCTTGGCTGCAGGCGGCGATCCAGCATCTTGGTTCGACTGGGTCTTGAGCTCTAGCTCACCGAGTAGCTCGTTAGCAATCGCATCAGCCGCCTCAGCAGCATCAACCTCCCGACGGCCCTTGGCACCCTCAACGGCCCTCTCCGTGAACTTGGCCATGAACTTGGCCGACTCAATCACTCGCGGGTCCTCGTGTCCGAACGCCTCCTTCATGAGCGAATACACCTTCTTCTCGTACATCAGAGCCTCACGGTAGCCGCCAGCCAGACCGCACGCCAGAGCCATTTGATGGAGAACGTTAGCCGCTTGATTGCGGTCAAACTCGCCGCGACGGAGAGACTCACGGTGGCACATCAGAGCCAGCGTAATCTGCCCCACATCCTGGCACATTATACCCATTTTGAAGTAGAGCGAGCTAATCTCAGGGAAGTGAGGGCCGCAGCAGAACTCCAGCAGGTAAATAGCACGGCGGATGTGTGGCACCGCCAGGTCCGTCTGGGCGTTCGCATGCAGGAACAACGCCAAATTAGCGTGCGCGTAAGCCGTGTCATGATAATCGATACCTCGGAGCTGTGTGTACAACGCCAGTGCTCGCTGCTGCTGCGCAATAGCTCCAGCAACGTCACCAGCGTGGTAGAGTACAGTAGCGAGCGACGAGCTGCAGAGTGCAGCGTCCTCGTGGGCTGCACCACACACCTGGAAGAGCAGAGATGATGCTTCCTGAAGAAACTCGTATGCACTTGACAGTGCGCCCTGGCTCAAGTGCATACGACCACGTTCAAGGAGCTGCTTAGCACGAGTCAACGGGTGTGCAGGCAAAGAAGTCTTGACGACAGGCACGACACCACTAATGTCATCCAAGCTGATTGGAGACGACGATGAGAACTCGTAGTTACGGCTCACCACACGGAGACCCAGACGCTGACACAGACGCCGCAACATGACAGACTTACTCACACGGCCAACAAGGTAGACAGCATTTTCACCACGAGATTCGTCACGGCCAGGGCCCCAAAGAGTCAGCTTGTAGTCGAAGCGGGCCTTAATCTCCATGTCAATGCGCGTCCACAGCGTCTTGGAATCCAGTGAGGTCGTTGTGGTAGCATCAGTACTACAGGTTTCGTCTGCCTTCTCCGAAACAGCAGCTGAGCTCGATCCAAGAATGCCGTTGAGGAGCTTCACAATGGCGGTTCCCGGGGCGGCCCGAATGGAGTCGTTGGAGTTCAAAACATCAGCCAGGATATGCTTCGCAACACGCGCGATCATCTCCACCTCAAGTATCTCCAGCAAGTACTTGGAAATACCGCTAATGGCCTCTAGCTTCTTGGCAAGCGAGGCCAAACGACCCAGGTAACGCATGTTGATACCGCAAGAGTGCATCAGCTGCGTGAGGGCGTAGCCATCGGCGGGGGCTATAGCTCCACGACGAACATCAGCGACAAACGCCGGCACAACGATCCGCTGCATATACTCCGCGGCGTCCTTCGCCGCTGCCTTGTCAGCCTCACGCTGCTCCGAATCGGTGGAAGCCGCATAGTCCATGAAGACGTTTGGGTTGAGCAGCACTGGAGGGATCTCTTCGTCTTCTTCTTCCTCTTGCTCGTTCTCCTCAGTGTCCTTCTTCTCAGCATCATTCTTTATCGAGGCGTTATCTTCCGTACCCTTTTCCTCCTTCTTCGCAGCCTTGCGCACCTCACGGATGGCGCGGCGAGCCTGGTTTTCCTTCCAGAGCGAGTACAGCTGAACCAGCTCCGGTCGCAGCAGAGCTGCATAGCCTTCATCATTACGCGTAAAGCACAATCCGTCCTCTTCAGGCACAACATCCTTATTTTCCTTGGAATTCTTCCTAGCAGCGCCGCGGTTCTTGTAAAATGTCCAATCCTTCGGAGTAATGCGGACGAGATCCAGGACATACAGACGTCCATCCGAGCCTTGAATTCCCTTGGCCTCAACAGCACCACAAATGGTGGTCACGTCAGTGCTGGCCTCACCACTGCTCACGAGGGGTATATCTAAAGCCTCCTGCTCCTTCTCAGCAGCCACATCTTCTTCACTTTTGCCTAGGGGTTTGATGCTACGCTCGGCGATGTGCAGTTTTTTTCCTGCCTCAAGCATGAGCTCGTGCATCGTGCTATTGGATGCAATAGTCTTTCCGTGGTCCACCGAGCCATACACAAGCTTCGATGCAGCGTCGCCCATCAGGATTCCCGGGATAAGGCTCTGGGCAATGACACGAACACCAAGGTAGTCCACCACAGTCGTGGCCAAAGTGTGCAGATCCCTTACATCGGCATCATTAAAGGCCTTGACACCCTGTAAGTCGCGGTTGGCGGCCGAGTAGGCATTTTCCTCACCTCCAGCAGCGTCCTTGGTAGACTTCCCGTCAATGGACACGGAGAAGAAGATATTGTTGAAAACATAGACGTGAGCACTCTTGTCGTCCATGGGGTTGATAGGAGGAATGTTGCCCTCGACAATTGCCACTGCGCCCTTAGTCGCAGCCTCCACAAACTCCGCAACAATCTTATACATGACACGAGCACGCACAATCTCCGCCTTCAGTGTGTCCTTGGGCAATTCGCGGCAGCACTGGTATTCTTCATTCCAGTCGCGCAACACACCACGCTCGTCCATGCCGTAAGTGGTACAAAGCTCATCTTCGGCACGGTTAAGGTCATACGAGTGCTCCTCCATCGCTGCAGCAACAGGCGTGTTCCACGGAAGTTTCCCACCCAAACTGGAACCAGCAGCTACCATCCATTCAATCGAAGAAGGCCCCTCCTTAGCCAGTGAAGCAGCCTTAGCGAGGAGAGCACCATATGACTCCTTGAACTTCGGTGACACATTGCTCAGGACGTCAACCAACAAGTGTGAGTGGGCAGGAACAGTCTTGTGCGGACGTGGGTCGAACTTGGTGGCAGTCGAGCGGTTCACGAAGAAGCCGTTGACGTGCGACGTGATGTGGTAGCGACTGTTGTCACCAGCGGCGACCACTTCCAAGTACAGCAGGTCGCCCGCCAGCTTGCGCGGTCCTGGGGGTGGATTGTAGCCCGAGAACACGATGCTCTGAACACAGGCAGGGAGTTTGGCGATTGGCTGCTGCTCCTGTTCCTTCTGGTTGGTTTCGTTTTGCTGCTGCTGCTTTTGCTTGTGTTGGTTCTTTTTCCCTTTCTTCCCTTTCTTGATTTTAGCAGGCGTATCCGTTTGCTCCGACTCCTCCTTCACGGCGGTGGTGGCACCAGGGAAGGAGTAAAATTCCGAGAGCTCGGGTTTAACGGGAATCTCGATGCCCTCAAGCTTGTGGTGGATTTCACGCAGACGCTTGAGTTGTTGTTCTGAAATCTCCTTGAGCTTCTGTTCGTCAATTTCCTTGCTGTCGGCAGGCTCCTCGACCTTGTCGGCAGTCTCCGGCTGGGTCTCGAGCTCTACGGCGGCCTGGGGAATAGGTGGGTTGCTTAGCACGTCACGGAAGCGACGCACCTGGGCGCGCGCCTTGCGGGCGTCGTACTTGTCCAGCATCATGCGCAACGTGACACCATCCGTCACATTCTCGTATTCGCTGAGCTCCACGAAGTCATTGAGCGGCTCCCAGGTGTCGTCCGTAAGGCGCTTGGCTTCCAAGTGGTAGCACGTGTAGCATGCTAGCGCTGGGAACTCGCCAATAAGCTGGCGTAGCGCCAAGACAGTGTCCGAGGGGCTCACGCTCTCCAAACGCAAGGGTTGGCCTGTTTTACCGGCGGGAGGTGCTACGAGCACGCTAAAAGACGATTCGTCCACCTCCACAGCTTCTTCCTGCTGCTGCATCGGCTCGATGGTGTCGCTACTGCCCATGCTGAGAACGGAAATCTTGCTGCTGCTGCTAGCTGTGCAAAAATGCAAGTGCGTTGCAATGTGTGGTGCGAGCCTGTCGTACCGGAATGCGAGTACAGAGGATTGGAATTACATGTTTTATGGTTTAGACCTAGGATTTACAAGAAGTGTTTGAAATCCTTCTTAAGTGCATATACATGTTCGCTAATGGTTCATTCATGCTTGAAGTATAATATTACGCATTGAAAAACGGGTCAGATTTAAATATGCCAGTAATTCGCCGATCCATCGTGGCGGCTGGTTCTTCACTGTCACGCCGCCCGCTTGCCTCCTTTGCACTCCGTACCATGAGCTGCGATGAACGTGCTAAGTCTGACGCCGCGGCCTCGTCGGGTGCTGCCTCCACCGCGGGCGATACCATCTTTGACAAGATCATTAACGGGCAAATCCCCACCAAGATTGCGTATGAGGACGAGCAGTGCCTCGCATTTCACGACGTGAACCCGCAAGCGCCCGTGCACATTCTGCTTATCCCCAAGAAGCGCGACGGACTTACGCAGCTCGCGCACGCCGAGGAGCGCCACGAATCCATCCTGGGCCATCTGCTCTACACTGCCAAACAGGTCGCTAACCAGCAGAACTTAGACAAGGGTTTCCGTATCGTTATTAACGATGGGGCGGACGGCTGCCAGTCGGTATTCCACCTACATTTGCACCTTCTTGGAGGGCGCAAGTTGGGCTGGCCCCCTGGGTAATGGAGAGGCGAGCGTGTCGTGCTCGTGATGAAAAAGGGGGGAGAACGAGCATAATGAACTGCGGAGGCAATCGAGTATGTTTGTAGGGAAGAAGCAAAAATGATCTTCAAGGTGATGCATCGCTTTCTATAGCTCTCCGGATTGTCTTCTCTAACACAGTAGATCTAGCCTCGGCCACAAATCTCTTTGTGGAACTGGTCCAGGAATGTTTCCATGAAGGCATGGCGCTCTTCCGCCAGACGTTTTCCTGCATTGGTCTTCATCATGCCACGGAGCTTCAGTAATTTCTGCACGGAGCGGAGCACACTAAGGTCAAAGCCTAAACGTTATCAGCAGTTACAGATAAATTGCGTACCTCGTAGAAATGGTTGATAGTGGTGTTGGGGCGATTCTGGTCCATGTACTGCTCTTTGGTCATGCCGTCGACCGGGCACACATCCGGGTCATAAAGTGGCCGCAGTTTGTGTCCTCCATACGTGAAACAACGTGCAATTCCGATGGCTCCAATCGCATCCTATACAAACAATGGCTCTCATGCGTCACAAACCTGAATCTCAGGGCATTCGTGACAGACAACGAACCAGTCGATCGGCATCCTGGACGCAGCCGTATTCAACAGAAAGCGAACGCTAGCGCGCCAAAATTCATTAATCTCAGCCAGCAATAATTGGTTCAACGACCTGGCGTACCGATTCCTTGCCTTCTAGCTCATCTTTGAATCCCATGCTGTCAATAATGGTCATCACACGTTCGATCTTGTCTCCCGAGATGCACTCCGACTGCAGAAAACAAACTGCCCTTTTCGTAGGCTTCTCCTTGCCTCCCTGATACTTCCAGTCGTCAATGTCATGGAGCAATGCTGCTAGATCCACAATCTCCAGATTTTCCTCAGACACGCACTGAACACAATACTTCTCATTAGGTACAGCGCTGAGAATTAAGCACAAGCGACTTCGCGCCCACCTCCTCCTTCGCTAGAGCCCTCGCCAACGTCCAGACGCGCTCAATGTGGCGCCAGTCGTGCGACGCGTCGTTTGTCTTGAGCTGTTGCTCCACGAACGCCGCTGTACGCTGCACCAGTCGAGATGTAGCCATCTGACTTATGGCCAGTCAAATTGCGCACTGCGGCTAATAAGTACTGCATAATAATAAACATGTTTTAATACATGCACTGTGTTGAAGCCAACAATACAATTTGTAGTATCCAATGGATACCATGGTATTTTCTTTTACTAAAATACCCGCCAACTCAAGTCGGGTTGTCTTCTGTTGGCGCCAAACCCATTCTCATTACGGATTGGCCAATAAGCGGTCAATAACTTCAACGTCATTTGAAACTCCTGCTACGGCTCAGTCCCTCACAAACAGGCAAGCCATGAGCAGCTCCCGCACGAGCTCCAGTCGTGGTCCAAGTCGTGGGAACAAGAGCGAGAAGCCTCGCAAAATTACAGCCAAGGCGGATGAGCTGGACGCCTACATGGAGAAACTTTACGATGACGATGTCGAGTCCAAGCTGCAGGGCGCCAAGATGATCCTTGAACTGGCAGAGTATGCAGGCAACATTGAAGTCCTCGTGCAGAATGAATCACTCATGGTCGGTAGAGATCTGAGTAGGTATTCTCGTAGTCGCACACAACAGGTTCACTAACCGGTGCTCGCTTTACACAGAGCCTGTTGTCGCGTGTTCTGAATGACGACTACAAGAAAAGCTACGACTTTTCGCTCATCATGATGCGTATCTTCTGGTGCTTCTCCAACTTCCTACAGTTACATGCGCTACTGGCTAACTACCGCATTGGGGCTATCACACTGAAGATCGTCGAGTTTGAGCTTAAGCGTCACCAGCTACGTCTCGAAGAGGGAAAAATGCTTGAAGCCACCGCACATGAGGCCCCAACAGACGATACCGACTTTGCGCTAGCAAAGCTTGACCGTGAGAAGAAGCGCAACAAAAAGCGCATGAAAAAGCAAGACCAACTGTTGTGAGGAGACTGATCTGGTGGCTGTGCAACCTGGTCGTTAAACTGATAGTTGACTTTTATCTGCAGCTGTGTGTGCTTCAGCGTGCTGCTGAACCTGGCAGAAGACATTCATACCGAGCGCAAGATGGTCAAGCGCAAGATTGTGATTTTCCTGACTAAGGTACGTTAATTTTATTTTTCTGATAGCTCCAAGCACTTACCTTTTTTGGCTTTCGATCTTGGAAAAGTTGTTGGATCGTGTAGCACCCGATCTGGTAATTCTGACTATCACATTCCTCAAGAAGTTGAGCATTTTTGAGGAAAACAAGGACGCAATGATGGAGCTTTCAGTGGTGGAAAAGCTAGTGCGATACCTCAATTGTAACCACGACAAACCCATCCAGACATCACTCAAACTGCTGTTTAACTTGTCCTTCGATCCAACGCTTCGCGAAGTGCTGGTGAGAAATAGTCTTATCCCGAAGCTGGTGGAGCTACTGAAGAAACCTCCTTTTCGAGCGCTTTCCCTACGAATCCTTTACCACCTCAGCATCGACGATCGATGCAAGTCAATGTTCACATACACAGAGGCAGTCCCAATCGTCATGCAACTGGTAATTAATTTCCCACAGAATATCGTGGCGAAGGAGCTGGCTGCGCTGTCTGTGAACCTCAGCCACAACGCGCGCAATGCCGAACTCATGTGCCAGAACCGTGGTCTAGAAGCTCTTGCTTCACGTGTATTTCGCACTCGCGACCCGCTGCTGATGAAGGTGATTCGAAATATTGCACTGTGGTCGTACACGCTGCAGGAAGATTTGGTCAGCGACAAGGCGTACAAGTATCGAGGCATGTGGGCCCCCTTCGTGGTCCCATTTATCGAGCTATGTCTTACTACTGACAACCACGACTTTTCTGTTGAAGTTGTAGCGACGCTAGCAAACATGACGCCAAGTGATCTACCGTCGAAGGGTTCATGGGACAGATTGGTGACAGACCATTCTGTTATCCCGCTACTCAACAAACTCCTTGTACCGGGCTTTTCACAAGATGACATGATTTTGGAAGTCGTACTGTTTGTTAGCACGCTCGCATTGGAACCAAAGTGTGCTCCTCTGCTGTCATCATCTCGACTTGTGCGCACGCTGCACTCACTATTCCAAGAGAAACAGCACGACAACGAGCTCACCTTACAGATCCTTTATGCATTTTATCGCATGCTGAGGCACCCCGATACGTTTGAAGATATTCTCTTTGGTGTCGGCTTTGTGCCGGACTTGCTTCTCGCTGCTGATGCGCCGAATATTGAAGTGCGCCGGATGTGCGACGTTCTCATGGACTTGATTCTCGATCATGACCTCAACGACGGAGGGACCATCGGGGACCTTGGGCATCTCATTCGGCAGCGCCGGTTCGAAATTCATAATGCCGAATACCTCGAGATGATTCACGCTGAAACACACAGCGCAGTATTCCGCAGACACCACGGGATGGATGACAACAGCGGCAAGGAAGACAAGGACGGCGACGATCACTAACTACAGTAGATTATTTCTTACTACTTTATAATCATGAAAAACAACGAGGCGGAGCGCTGTGAAATTTTTTTGGAAAGGTGATTTATTTTCCGAGCGGAGGTAGTACTAAAACGTTATGTGTACGAGCCAAACCTAAAACAAAGAAAGTTAGACCAAACTGCTTCCTGAAATACTGCTGCTCACTCGACTTATCCGATTTTCTTCTTCGTCAAGAAGCCTACCACACTCTTACGATCAATTCGCACGCGAGGCAGTGCTTTTTCCGGCCAGTAGTTGTTGTGTTCGCTATTGATAGACGCTCCAGGTGGAATCACGTACATGTTGTACGGAGAGTCGGCTGCCATCTTCAGCGCGAGTGCTCGAGAGTTGTGCTTTCGCTTGTCCGAATAGCGGACGAGCTGTCGCACAAACTTCCAGTGATCGTACGCGGATTCTAAGCAGAAAAATGCCATCGCCGATTCGTGAAGGTTGCGCACTTCAGTCTCCAGCTTTTCCATCCCCACAGTTCCATCCTGCGTTGCCACGATGTTTTGGCTCGCTGGAAATTGGTCGGGTGTCATCCCGTCGCGCGTACGGCACCAGAAAGCATCGACCCGAAACTTGTGGAAACTGCTAGTATCGGACGCGTCTTGAATCTGAATAAGGCACGACCAACCAACGGCGTTCGTGATGATTGGCAGTTCGCTATCGATCGAGACCTTCTCATCTTCCCCGTCAGTTGTTGGCTTTGTATCAAGACCACAATCGATCAAATCAATCAAAAACTGAGCTGCCCTCCATTCAGCTAGGCGACGAGCATCCACTTCAGTATCCCACGTAGCCCGACAAAGCACATGGTCATCTACTCGTACGACGCAATGGACGCCAGAAGGTGAGCGAGAGTGTCGAGAAAATGACATGCGAGGCAGGTCTTCCACAGCAGTTATGATCTGGAATGAAGAAGAAAAAAAACAGTTAGTTTGAAGCTGTAGGAAAGAGCAGGTAGATTTCATTACTTACACTTGCGATGCCCGACAACATGAGGTCCCGGAAGGAATCAATTGGCGAAACATATGCAAGAGATTTCACGTCCAAAAAGTGAAGAAGTTGTGCCCAGACTGACCGAATCCTGTTGAGTTTGTTTAACATACCGTCAACAGCAGCATTGCAAGCATCAGACTTGGACACCTCCGATGCCTTGAAACGAATGACATCGTTGACATCAACAAGAACTTCATAAATGCCTTCCCGAAGACGTTCCATCCTAATATTCGCAGTGACATTGGGAACGATCCTTCTGTTTTCAGCTCCGCGATACTTCAACGATGCCCGAAGTCGATTGATTCCAGCACAAAGCTCATCTGTAGGAGTAAAGAGACTGCGGATTGCAGCACGGAACTTGGCTTCATCAGAGAGATTGCTCTCGGACCGTTCATCATAGTCTTTTTTCAGCTCGTTCTCGAAAGCTGTAGTCTGTTGTGATGCGATGTGTGCATCCTGTGCCGTTTTAACTCCAGACGGGTCCCAGTCATCATCATCATAGCCGTCCGAATCGTTATCGTAGTCATCGTCATCATCCATCTCATCGTCACTGCATAATATGAGATTGGTCTTCTTCGCTGGGGTTGATGTCGTCGAAGCATTAGATCGGGCTGCTCCAGCTGCACGTGTCGTGTTCGAGCTTCCACTGGTGGAACGTGACGATGCTGGACTAGACTTCATCTTGTTCAGAGATTCCAAAATGTCGCGCCATCTTTCATTGGCAGAACGCTTTGCATCTTTTGCGTTTAGGCATGCCGTCGAAATGGCAAGTGTGTCTCGGACCTTAATAAAATACATGAATAGCGGTGGAACAAGTTTTTCCGATGCTGACACCTACGAAGTAGTAGAGGAAATACACCCCATTAGCGCTCAGCGTTGTGTCACTAACGTATATATTGTCTTACCTTGTCGCGATTCTTCGCTTGAGTCTCGTTACCAGCCATCAATGATGTGGGGGTTTGTCTTAGCCGGTTATTATAGCTTGCCAGCAATGCCTTCCACGTCTTCACTATCCCATCCAATGTATTAATCAGAGTCCATGTCGCCTTATCCTTTGCAACTTCAATAGACGGTCCTTCCCCACAAGCCTTAACCACATCTTCAGATGCACTGAGCACGCATCTAACAAAACCATTCTGCTGTGTCGCGGTACGCCAGATCTAAATAAATTATACCACACACACGTTAAAATAACCACGCACGGGCCACGTGATTAGGTACAAGTGTTTACCGTGAAACTCGACGATAGCCGAATTTTTTCCGATCTGACACCCAGATCCCACACAATTGCTCTGATGGTTGCGATAACCTTTTCTCGATCTCGGAAGAGAAGCACTAAAAGCTCTTGATAGATATCCGACTTCGCCTTGGCGACTTCATCTTCGGAGCGGACAGGGGGGGCATCACGGGTAATATCTGATCCGCTTCGGTCCTCCATAAATAAGCTTGCTGGATTCGTTGCAGCACTGTCATTAACTCGCTCAGTGTTTCTTTCCTCGCGTGGTGCATGCACTGGTGCTTGTGATTCTGGTGCTGCATACGATATGCGAGGACGAGGAGCACCACGCGCGTCTTCATAATACTCCTTTGCATGTGGGGCATAGCGCCGCTTCTTCAAAATACCCATAGACCTTAGCTCTGTGTCCCTGCTCTCCCCGTTTTCGGCGATTCGGGTGCTCTCTTGTCTATCGGTCATCCCATCGTACCCATTTTCGTGTACACTGGCCATCTCATCGTCGTCATTGAGCTCATATGAGCTATCTTGGTGAGGCTGAGTCCTTTCACTGGTAGCAGGTTCAGATTCACTCTTGATCTGTTCTGCGCCGCCCCGCATCAGGCTCTCCTCATATTGATCGATCAATTCCATCAGGAACGCCATAAGTGCGTCAACAACTTCGCTTTTCGTGCTTGGGAAAGATGACCCTCGCCTACAGATGAGAGGAAATTCTTGGATGTACGCCACTATATCATAAACACCATCGTCAGGATCCCGGCTAGGTTTTTCGTGAAACTGTAGATGGTAAGAGCACATAAGTTTCACGAAGTCGTAATCTATATGCCAAAATGACAATGAACGTACCCACACAATCTTCTTAGCGACGAGATAGTTGAAAGCCGCATCCTTCACCTTTCTGGTTTCATTATCTTTGCAAAATCCGAAGTGAGACTTCAAGTGCGACAGCATTTCACTGTACAACCTTTGGTGTTCCCTCACTGCCCTTATCAGCCTCGATAGTGCCCCGATTGTGGCATCCCGATCAAATGTACCTGAGCAATCGAATGATAAATGCCCTAAACGGACGCGAGCGATGTACTGAGCCCCAACTTTCTTCAGCTCGCGCCGAAGCTGAATAGAATGTCATGTCAGTCATGTAGTAATAGTTATACATCATCCTAAAACACACCTTAAGTCCTGCCGCCAATGTAAAGTCCTTGCTCATCTTCAGCACTGGAACAGTTTGAGCAGCACTAGATAGCTCTTCAATCGATGACACAATGTCAACATTAGGACAGACCAAGGCCAGTAGATACGATCGGCCTTCGTCACAACCGAAGGTCCTGGGTTTGGCAGCAGTGTCAATACCACTCAGTTGTCTCTCCTGATACTCGGGGGAAGGAGCCAGGGACGGCGTTGGAGCATTGGCACACGTAAAATTTTGCTTCGCTGCTCTAGTCTGCTGAGGTGTAGCAATATCCATTGCAAATGTTACTCGTCTTTTCGCGAGGCGTGACTTCGATGGTTGCGAGTGTTTCGGACACAGTGTTAAAGCAGGTTTGCTGTTGTAGCTCTCGTCTTCAGGTCGTCCTGGTAGCATATCGACCGTCATGTCTTCAACGGCCTGTTCCAGCCCCTCCGCATCGGCCATGACGATATCCTTTTCCACAGAAACTAAATGTTCAGCTTCTTCGGCCGTGATCGCATCATACCAATGCAGAAACTTGTCGGTAAGCTGGAAGGTCCTATCCGCTATCAAGGTCTTTCGCGTGTCTCCAGTGAAAGTCTTGACGTACATCAGCATTTTTTTTGCTGAGTGCAGTCGTTGCACTGCCATTCGATCCTGCTGAATCATCGCATCATAACGTTTTACTAGCTGCTGGTGATGTATCAGTATCTCATCTAGAGCACGTAGCATGCGTCCTGGAGTGCGTCCCTGTCTCGGATCGGGCTGCACCGACATCCCCATGCGTATAAAGCGCAGCACCACCGTCCTTTTGGCAGATCTGTCCTGATCGTACTTGACCCTGATCTCTGCTCCCACTGCTGCTACGTCCTTATGCAGCTGCTTGAGTTTTCTGGGACAGAGGAGGAAATCTTGTACGTCCATGCCGACTAAAAAATCATCCGATTCGATTGTGTAAATGGGATCAGTGTATCCATCAGCCAGTTCATCAATAAATTCCATCGGATACCGGGGCGCCTCAGTCTTCTGTACGCGAAACACGTGAGAGTCCATGAGAGCAGACACCGAGAGGCCAAAATGCGTGGCCAATGCCAGGTTCGTGACGGGGCTGCGAGGCAGCGAATAGTGGACCTCGTACGCATGGCCTAGCGACAGCAGCTTCCGCGTGGCGAGAGCGACCTCCATGCGCCACAGACGCACGCCCATGTCAAAGGCCAGGGCCTTGTTGGTCTCGGGTAGAGAGAACGATGACTGTGCGCTCTCCTCCAACGGACCCATGCACTTACGAGCAGATTTTTTTTTGTCTAGCCCTCGGAGTGGTTCGTGCAACCTTAACTTAAAGTTGTTTTAGCCAATCTGAGACAAATGTGGTTGCTGTATTTCAGTTTCAAAAATTTCAAGGAAACTTATTTCTCTAAATTACCGTATTCGCTTAGATACGAATTTGAAGTGATCACGCTAAGTACGACAGCGGAGGGCCTCATATTTCCAGAACTGCACGACGCCAGAAGCATCCAGACCTCGGGCGGCGCGATCGGTGAGCCCTGCACAGCTGGACCGCACAAGGAAGCGCGAGGAGAGTTCCATCCGCAGCCCTCCAAGAAGACTCGCTTATGAGTGAGGCAAAGGGTGCGCCGCCACATGGTTAGGATGAACTGATCTGCTGCAGATACTGTTTTAGAATTTTCTAACCTTTCTTGTACAAACATTTTAGGGCGGGCCCTGCGAAAGGGAAAGCAGACAGAGCTGAACTACATGTATGCCGCTCTTGGCATGGAAAAGGACGACAGCAGCGATGCCGAAGACGTCGACCAGTCTTCTGATGCCTTGGATGATCCTGCCCCACAGAGTACGATGGAGACGTCATTTTATGTGAAACGTTAATGGTTCTAACAGCGTATATGTTGTGTGTTAGGTCGCAAGGGGAAATCGCAGATAAAGAGGGCCAGAAAGATGCAGCAAAAGCCGTCCAGTACGTTGGATATTGTTGCTTTAACGTTTGCATCAAGTCGCTTACTAACGGAATTTTGGACGCTGCACAAAAATGGATCGATTACTTTCGAAAACATTCTCGGTGGTCTATGTCGGGGCTGGCTTAATGACAGGCACATAGACTTCTGTTTACGAGCAATTGGAGGGGTTGTTGGTGGCTGCTACGTGATCTCGTCACTGATGTGGGATATCGGGTGGCCTTCTACACCAAAAGTATCTATCGGAGAACTTAACTTTGTCCTCCATGCAGTACACCTGGACGGCAATCATTGGGGAGTCATTATCACGCGTTTTCACACGACGGCAACTAGTGTACGACTATTTGTACACATGTACGAGCCTTTGATTAATGCTTCTTATCACAAGGACATGATGAAGATCTGGGAGGGTGTTACTGAGCAAGTGAATCACCCAAAAAGCAAAGCAAAAGAGGGCCTACGCGGGTTCCTCGAGCGGTGGCACGCGTCCTCGATGCCGGATGTGGAATTGGAGATCCAGGACGTTGAGTGGGTGTTTTCACTGCAACAACCAGATGGATCTAGTTGCGGCGTATTAGTTATAGCACAATGCTACAATTACCTTACTGGAAACACCACACAGCAAACCTACGACGTCACCAAGCACGACATCAAAGTGATGCGCCTACGAATTCTTTGGGCCATTATGCATCTGTCCAAGGAACAACCTATCTCCGAATCCGACGCTGCCACAACAAGCAAGACTCTACAGAAGCTACAAAAAGAACTCGAGTAAGTGTTTTAGCCTGAATTAAGTCTTTAATACAGACCGTGTTCACTGCGTTATGCATTCAGCTTGTGAATAGCCATCTCCAATAAAACTCCAAACGAAAGATCGTCATCTTGAGCTGCCCCCTCCTCGAAGAAATCCGCCTTCAGCTGGTAGCAAGCTTCCTCCTCATCAATACGACCCTGAAACTCCATCTGAGCTGCCATGATTTCCTCCATACTGCGTTGTATGTTAACGAGCACCGTCCTCATCTTCTCCAGCTCACTAAGCCTTGCACGAACCAACTCAAGTGGCAAAGCCTTCTGATCCATAGCGATGATCGAGATCTTCCAGCAAATCGAGAAGTCCCAAAGTGTGCGAATACTTGTGTCCCACATAATGTACATGTGGCTCACATCAGTCTATAACCTCTAAATTTAGACAAACCTATCGACGAAGGCCACGTGGTCTTGGGTAAATTAAAATATAATACCGAGTGCATGCCCCGTTGTGGTTGCGTTTCGCTCTAAAGTTGCCAAAATTCGTGTCGTGGTGTTGTATTTATGGTTGCGGTAACGCCATTATTCTCGGCTTTCACAAAAGTGGTAGAGCCGGGGATATGCCTTATATGTTCTTTATAAAATACGGGATTCGCTAGCTTTAAACCTCAATTTGACCACCTACCTAATTAGAGCACATGTGGCTGAAACCTACTTAAAACACAAGGCTGTACCAACCAATGAATATTCTTGAAAGCTCCCAACCAACCACCCATCTGAACAAACTTGTCGGTGCTGCTGTTACTTGGTTTTAGTTCTCTTATTTTATAATTTACACAGCCATGAGTGCTGAGCGAGGTAGCTATAGTATCCATTAGAAACTCGCTGTTCTAGCAGACTATCGGAAAGGCGTGAAAGGTCACGGCTTTGCTGCTCTTAGCAAGAAGCACAGCGTGGCGGCTGAGACCATTCGCGGGTGGCATCAGGTCGAAGACAAACTCATAGCCGTCCTCAAGGACTGTCAAGGGGCTACACGTGTTTCTCGAAAGCTGCGACTGAGTGGAGGCGACCGTAAACCTGCGCACTCAGAGCTGGAAGAGCGGCTTTTTGACTGGGTAACAGCTCGTAATGCTAAGGGCCTACGCGTCAAGGACACATACATTCGTCTACAAGCCAAGAACATCTATCGGGCCTTGAATCAAGATAATGCAACAGACTTTGAGGCCTCCTCTGGGTGGCTAGCCAGGTTCAAGCGTCGTAGAAACCTCGTCTCACGTCGTCAGACAACTTCAAGATCACTTCCCGCAAATGCACCACAGATTTGCCGCAATTCCATTCAAAAGGCTCAGCATCTCATCGAAAAGCACAGTATTCAGAGCAAGAATATCATTAATATGGACCAGGTTCTGTGGTGAAGTGCTTTCTCAGAAATAAGAGAATGGACCTGACGCGGGGTCACTATCCCGAATCAGTGACAATTTCAAGTGATTAGAGATGATTTGGATTGTCTGGCACGGATGCAAGTTGCCTGTGGTGGATTAGCCATGACGAGCAGCACCCCGTATGAAATGACGGTGGATCTGGTATGAGTGATGTACGGGAAGGCAAGATCCACCAAGACCTATCTCGGATCTACCCTTACCTGGACTCACTTAGATGGATATGGGATATACTATATACGGGTGGATCGAGTGTGGATCCTATGAAGGAAAGATGGTAGGTGCCATCTGAAGGTGGATCTAGTAACCACGGCTAACAAGAAGTCAAGATCCACCGCGAGGTGTCCCGGATCCCATACTTCCGAGTTCGGATCCAAGGAGGGAGGATCCCGCATAGAACGACCTGGATCCAGGATGCTGGGATGATGGATACAGTGGATCTCGAACTTTCGTTGGACAATGAAGATCACAGACGGTTGCAAGATGATGTTGGATGCTTGGAGAGCTCAGATCCACGACGAGTGTACACTTACAGTGAAGTGGATCCAAGCGACCTAGATCCGGATGAGTGTACCCACAATAGGGTGACATAATGATTACGCCATGGATCCGGTGGATCTGAAGATAATACAGCTGGGATGATGGGTCAAGGAAAGAAGGGACATGCAGCCGAGCCTGGTAAGGGATTTAACAAGTGAAAGACATAGAAGGTAGAAATCCAGGCAGGTATAGGCTTAAGTATCAATACAGACCTCAATTTGCACAGTAACACGCAAGTGCCTTCCTGCCCTCAAGAACCGGAACTACATTGGCCGTACGAGCTCCGTGAAGGTTAGGAATTGCGAATCTAGTGTTGATAGTGATAACTGGATAATACATTGACCAGATCCTACAACCTAGTGAGCTTTCCTATACACGTGCAGATCCGACAGGTTAACCGAATTTACTACTTGGTCGGTTACACCCTAGAGGTTCTCAACTCTCAAGATCCCGTCACAGGAGGCGGCAAGTACGACGCAAAGGAACTACAAAGGCAAGGGAACACACCCGCAAGGCAACCCTACGGCCAGATCCACGATCTAGGCCCCGGATCCATAAGCTCGAATATTCGCTTAGGATTCGGAGCTATCCACGGACGCAGAGTGAAGATTTTCCACTGCTGCTCCACCCCGTCCCCACGTCTCGCCAAGACACTCAAGCTTCACCACTTGAACTCTTCGGAAGTTACCGAGAGAGCAGATATCGCCCTACCGACGGGTACACAATGTGAGGAAAGTTCAGCAGAACACGGATCATCGGGGGACCCCCTCCGTTAGTCGGTGTCTGGGCGCAGTTGGTAAGTTGGATCTGGCAATCTCGCAGATTTTGCTGATCCCGCTACACCACAATGGTGCGCGTGCCCGGATCTTTTGGTGACTCGGGATTTCACCGTGAGTCCCAAGAAGATGCTCAAGTGAAGATTGAGCCAGGGGAAGAGGCGTCGTCGGAGGTCGGATCGACGAAGACGCCGCTGAATGAAACAAGATCCGCGGATCGATGGAGTTTTGGGAGGAGCTCTGTCGACGGAAGAGAGGTGGATCCGGATCCGGATCTAGAAGAGAAACCTCTCTATCCTCCCCAGGTCCCCTCGGGGACCCCTGCGGATCTTGACTTGCAGTAGGGATGTCACTCTCTCGCACAACTGATCCCACGATTCTGCCGGGATAAGAATGTCGTCGATATAAGATCTGCGTCCTAGCACAGACGGGGTCCCAGGATCCCCTGGCTCTCCCGCTTCGAATGAATCCACTTCCGTATGATCTTCCCCGGATCCACCCTTTTCGGGTTCCGGTATTCGGGTGAATCCATAGAGGGCATTATCGATCAGGCGTTGGTAGATTTGGGGCGCGTTCTTCAATCCAAACGGCATCCGGTTCCACTCGAGCAGTCCAAACGGTGTGATGAATGCAGATATCGCGCGAGCTCGATACGTCATAGTCACCACCCAGAAACCACTGGCCATGTCAAGAGAACAGTACCAGAGTACTTTATCCAAATCTTCCAACAGCTCATTGATTAGAGGCATCGGATACACCATCAATCGAGTCAGGCCGTTAACTAACCGGTAATCAATGCACAGACGTATATCCACCCCGT